TGCCTGCAATCAGAACAAAAAGACAACCAGGTACAGTAAAAGTCCCATGCGCAATTATCACGCGGGGGCACCTATGGAGCGGGTTCACCTGGATTTTCTTGGGCCCTTGCCTAAGTCATCCAGGGGAAACGAGCACATACTCATGATGGTGGACCAGTTCACCAAGTGGGTAGAGTGTATCCCACTACCATCTCAGACGGCGGAGGAGACTGCCCGTGCTGCAGTGGGGAAATTCTTCTGCCGTTTCGGCTACCCGTTTGCGGTTTTTACGGATCAGGGGCGCAATTTTGAAAGCAAACTCTTTAAGGGAGTTTGCAAAGTCCTGCTGATTCACAAGGCCAAGACAACACCGTACCGACCTTCGGGAAATGGCCAGGTAGAAAGGTATAACCGTACCTTGATGGATGCAGTCCGGTGCTACGTGGGGCGGAACCAAAATGAATGGGACAAGTACCTGCCACAAATCTCCGGGGCACTCCGGGCTACAGTTAACCGGAATACCGGATATACCGCTAACCGGTTGATGCTCGGGCGGGAGGTGAACCAGCCAGCCCATTTAATGTATCCTCTCCCCAGGGGCAATTTGACCCTGGATCGGGAGGAGTACTTGAGCAAGCTGGTCAGGGCAACCCAGGCGGCGCATGAGGCAGCTAGGGCCAATCTACAGAGCGCCCAGAAACGAATGAAGCGGGATTACGATGTGCACTCGTTCCGGCGGCAATTCAATGAGGGTGATCCAGTGTATGTCCTTGACACTGCACAGGTCAAGGGCAGATGTAAGAAACTGAGCAGCCCTTGGAAAGGCCCCGGGAGGGTGGTTAAGAGGCTGACTCGAGATCTTTATCGGGTAGAACTCCGAAAGTCGATCTCCACTGTCCATCAGGATCGCCTCAAGCTATGTCGGGACCGGGAGTTGCCGGAGTGGTGCCAAGAGAGCAGGCGAGTCGACCCGGAGACCTTGTTTTGTATATGTCGCCAGCCATATGATGAGACCCGTTTTATGATCGGCTGCGACGGCTGCGAAGATTGGTTCCATGGGGACTGCGTAGGGGTAACCCCCAGCGAGAGTACCCATATAGATAAGTATTATTGTCCTCTGTGTGTGGAGCGAAGGAAGAGGTAAGGTTAGAGGTAGTTATTTTGGGGCGGGAACTAATTGTGTTTCCGCCTTTCTCTTTTCTTCCCTACAGATGGAGGAAGCGGCGAATTTGCCGCTACCTTAGGAAGACACGGATGACTTCTCAGACCTGGAAGACATATCAGAGGGGGATAGGCTTTTGGCGCCCTCTGAGGAGCAAGGGGGGCCGGGTTTCTTGGGGTTCCTGGGAGTACCGTTAGGGGAAGGGCAGATATGGCACCTCCAAGGGAGGAAGTAGTAGCTAGGGGGGTCCTGGATTGGCTAGGGAGGGGTAGACACCTTCCATATCCGGGTGTAATAGTGCGTATGGCCCCGTCGCAGCTTCCCTGGGACGTAGTCCTGGGGTCCCTCGATGGGGCGTATGGGCGGGCGGTCACCAATGATGATGCGGGCTGGGTTGGTTGCCTGCATGAGTACCTCCGGGGGCGTTTGCCCCTGGAGGAGTACATCAGCAGGTTCCCGTTACTGGGGGCCGGGAAGGGAGCCGAGGAGGAGGACGAGGCACTTATGTACTTCGACCCCGATACTCCTTGGTGGGAGCCGGGCATGGTTGAGAGCCGACGCTTTCACCACGGCCTGGCTCAATTGTCACCATTCCGGGGGAGGGCTTCTTTGTTGCCTTCCAACATGGGCGGCATACGAACCCAGGGAACACAGTTCCCAGGGTCAGGGATAGAGGATTCAGCAGCGGATCCAGGCACTGTGTGCCAGGAACCTGCTGTGGGTCAGTTCCCAGACATCCAAATGGAATCGGGACCGCGCGAGGAAGAAGTCATGGACACCACCGGGAATTCTTCTCCTGGGTCCGGGTCATTTTCTTCAGCTACCCCCGGGTCATCTCCTGGGGGCGCGAGGGCACAGGGTGGGGAACAGGGTTCCGGGGAGGGTATAACCTCTCGGGAGGAAGGGACTCCATACCCGGACGCGAGGGCAGTAGAGCGCCAGTTAAGCCAGGATGCGAGAAACCAGGCAGGCCAGGGAAAACGGCCAGGCCAGGGAAAGCGGCCATTGAGCGGGTCCGTCACGGGACCTGCTAAGAAGCATAAGGGGCGAGGGGTGTGTCCCATGTGCGGGGCCCGCCCCAGTGTCAAACTACGGCAGCACGTATACGGGCATATGCCCGTAGCGTTGCGCCTGTGCCAGGGGAAGCACTCTTCCGGGGAGCCCCGGATACTCCAGCAGGTGGCCTGCCTGAGGTTCCTGGCGGAGTGTATCATGGGTTCTCCCCGCCTGGAAGGGTTAATGGACTACGTGAACGAGGAGGCACCGGAATGGTGGGAGTGGAATATCCCGGCTGCAATGGAGGGAGACATGCTTTCCTTCCTTGAGCAGTCGGGGGGTGCCATTCCCAACCAGATCTGTGCCCGTCCTCTCAACACGCCGGCGGCGCTCCTCTACTGGCGCATCCTTGCTTGGCTGGTCTCCCAGTTAGATGACAGCCAGGTGGATCAGCTGCAGTACCTCGGGAGGGTTCCCCTTCCGGAGGACACTGCGGCCGCGCCGGTTAAATCCGAAGGCGGGAATTTTTAATTTGTTGCTGTTTCGGAGAGGCGGGACACTGGACCGCCAGCAAAGGGGGGTAGCGGGATCGAGAATCCTGCTAAGGTTGCTCCTGTTGCGAGTGTGTTTCCACCACCTGCAAATTTGAGACCTACTGTGCGCTCCAGGGAGCCAGGCAATACTAATGCCCGGGTCATCTCTAAACCTCCTATCCCCCTGGCTTTCGATAGCCACTTCCATTTGGACAGGCTAGAAGCCAGGGTGGGGAAGAGGGGCCTGGACTGTATAGAGGCCATCTCGGGCAGGGAGCCACGGGTTCCGGTGCGTCTCTGTGGGGGCGTCATCAACTATTGTGACCCCAGGAGGCACCGGGACATACGGTTCCCTGACGACCGGAGGTGGAAGGTGGCAGTAGGGGTGCACCCGAAGCACGCCCACGTGATCGACGAGCCAGCCCTGGACGCCCTGGGCAGGCTCATATGTGACGCCAGGGTCAGCGCCCTGGGGGAGGTGGGGTTAGATTACTCCATGCCCCCTAGGACGTGGGGGGCCCAACTGACTCTTTTCCGGGCCATCCTGGAGAAGATCGGGGCCACTGGCAGGGTTTTGATCTTGCACATCCGCGGGGAGAAGGGGGCTCCAACCTCCGATGGACCTTCCAAGGTTTGTAGGCAGGAGGTCCAACAGAGGGTGAATAGGCATCAACGTATCCATATTCACTGCTGCACGTTGGGCCCTCGTGAAGTTGAGGCGTGGGGAAAAACTTTTCCCAACGCCTACTTTAGCTTCAACGCTCTAGTAAGGTCCTACAACCAGGAACAGCGGGCTGCCCTTAGCCTGCTGCCGCGGAGTCGGCTGCTGCTAGAGACCGACTCTCCACATCTAACCGTTGGGGAGGCGTTATTTACGCCACTCCCGCCTACATCGGGGAGGTGGGGGAGTTTGTAGCTGAAATGAGGGGTGACAATCTGCAGGCCCTCTTGGAGCAGACTCGGGCCAACGCCCAAGCGCTCTACGGCCCGTAGGTCGAGTGTTTACGGGAACTTCTGTTCCTGTAGCACTAAGTTTTCTTGGTGCGCTTGAAGGTGGGAACTTTTTCGTTCCTATCTCTATGTTTTGCTATATTAGCTACGGGAACTTCTGTTCCTGTAGTGCTACATTTTCAGGGTGCGCTTGAAGGTGGGAACTATTTAGTTCCTATCTCCTTGTTTTTGCTACATTAACAAAAACATATACCGTAGGTCGGGTGTGCACGGGAACTTCTGTTCCCGTAGCACTAGGGGTCCGTTAAATTTTCAGGGTATACTTGAGGTGGGGATTATTTAGTCCCTATCACCTTGTTTTTGCTACATTAGCAAGAACATATACTGTATGTCAGTAAGTTGTTGGATTTTTAGTATTTTCTCCTAAATGCCCGTTGGCATATGTTTCGGTTGTTCCAGGGGGGACTTTTTTCCAAATGGCCCGCTCCGTGCTATAGCGGAACTGACGCCTCCTTCCTGCGCCGGAGTGACCTAGGTGAGTTTCTGGTTCTCCAGTCACACTCCGCTATGGGGGGGGGGGGGGGTGGATTGTTTTGGGTAGGGAATCTCCCCCTGGCAATTGTAGTGTTAAGTATTCATTTTTTAACCAATAAAACAAATATATTTTCATGTTGTATTTACCCCATGATTTGCTCGTTAGGGGTCTCGTTTGGCATGTTTCATACATGTTTTTAGATTGGGTTGTTGTACGGCCACAAGGGAGGGGAACGCATAATTTTTTTTTCTCCATCCGGTTGTGGGTAAGATACTTCCCTGGGTTTATTTCAATTGGTTCTGGGTTTTTTAAAACGGGGGGGGGGGGGGGGGGGGGGGAGTGTAGTAGGAATTGCCCCCACCCTCCAACAAGCTATTACAAGCTCATACAAGCTCCTAACACAAGGGGGCGCCATTGGTCTTCGTGCACTGGCAAGGCAGACAAGCTCCTAACACAAGAGGGCGCCATTGGTCTTCGTCCACTGGCAAGACAGATTGAGAACTGCTATACACTGACTGGTACAGACTTGCGAGACACTCCGAGCTTTATACCGGTAAGTTCTTTGTCTCTTTTGTAGTATTTAATACGTAATACATTTTAGCCTATGATCTGTAGATCAGGGCGACTTTAGTAATGTTAGGTTTCTCTATTTCCATTTAGGGTCTAGATCTAGACCTAGACCTATAGTGATATCAAATTTTCGAAATCTTACTGATCATTTCTTGAGATAGCGAACTAAGGTCACGCGCGAACTATGGTCACACCACCATACATGAATAAAGATTTAAGTTAGACCTAAGTTAGATCTAACTTTATATCTAACGTTAGATCTACATAGACCTACCCCAAGTTCAAGTACGTTAGTTGTTTAGTCTTGACAAACAGGTCCACCAAGGCTTCTTCGTCTCTGCCCCTCACCCCGGACACATTCAGCCGCTGTGGTTTTTTGGTTTGGTCTTCAAATAGAAGACTAATCCCTCCAATTGTCTCTCCTGATTCAATTTTCCTGTCTGTGGTGAGTGATGCGTGTAGTCTGATATGAACAAAGAACTGTTCATCCATAGCCCTAGTCATAGGCCTGGATGCGGTGGTGATCTGAAAAGTGTTGCTCGTCTCGATCTCTGCAGCATCGATAGAAACATCGATATCTCTCACTCCAGGTATCGATGGGAGTATGCCTTCGTAGCAGAATGAAGTCATTCTCTCGGCTGATAGATGTGTGAAGGATGGAAGCTCCGGAGGAGATGGGGGGAAACTGATAGAGGAGTCTGAGATGGTGAGGGTATGTAGCATCGAAAATGATCCAAGGCAAGACCATAGTCCATTCGTCACGTCGTTAGTTAGAGTCGATCCCTCGAAATGCACGGTCTTAACCTGTTGTTTAGAGAGAGAGAGAGAGAGAGAGAGAATTACAGACGGATTGGTCGAAGAATATAACATTAATAGTTGATAACTTGTTTTGTGTGTTAAACCATTAGATCATTCCTACGGAAGCGTTAAAGTGCCATTATACTTGAGGACATGACGAGATATTTCATCTTGTCAAGTCGACTTAATATCCATATCATGTCGACATGTAAAGATATTTAACCTACCATGTCGACTTCTAAAACATACATGTCGTCATGGCGACATATATTATCTTACCAAGTCGACTACCCAAAAAGTAATGTCGACATGGCGAAATAAATTATCTTGCCAAGCCGACTTCACAAACAGTTCATGTGGATATTATGTGGATATTAAGTCGACTTGACAAGATGAAATATCTCGTCATGTCGTCAAGTAGAATGGCACTTTAACGCTTCCGTACATTCCAGATCTTATCCGAGAATATATTCGGTAAGTAATGGAAGCTCCTTCCCCGACTCCTTTACATTCTTCCATTTTAAATGTACATATCATTTGTTTTAAATACGCTACATGTTAGTAATGACTGAATCTCGCCATTTTTTTCTACGATATTTTTATATTATTATAATATTCGTATCATTTTGCTTCAATATTTAAATGCAGTACCTTGAGTAAGGCCACAGTTTGGGTGAACATGGAATAATAATGATAATGAGTCATACATCTTGATCATCATGCAGTATGATATATCAAGATGCCGCTAATTATAAGTAATTAATGAATACAAACTGAAAACCAACTTCTTTCCTCTTTGACCTATAGCAGATAGATAAAGCAGAGAAATGAAAACTAAAAAAAATCTTTATAAAATTATTATTGTTAATATATGTTATGAAATTAAAATGTACATACCTCATGTTTTAGTTGCGTTGGAAGATTTTTCATCCCAACGACGGTGTAGACAGTTGGTGACTTTAGAACCATACTCCGTGCTGTGATGCATCTTCGAACCAACGAAGAAACATTTCCCTCAGCACCCGAGGTCTCTGATGAACAGTCAAGAAGAATGCGATATCGGTCGCTCTCATCCAAAAGGCGGTTGGAGAGGAGCGCCTCCATTATTCGTATACAGAGGCTGTTATCCGTGCCAGCCGCGAATCGGATAAGATTCTCGTAGTCACCGATGTTTGCTTTGATCTTGCGCAGTACTCTGTCCAATTTGGAAATCTTCAAAAGTAACAGAAAGCGGTGTGTTTGATCAGCGAGGAATTTCCCAGCCGAGTGTTCTTGGGCGAGTTTGTGATAAAACTCAATGGAAGTTGAAGTGGTCTCTATGGACTGAGGAAGGCATGTGATGTTAACAGTCGTCTTGGATACTATCCCAAGCTCACATGCCCTATCAAGGACTGCGGGAAATTGACGGAAATCATGAGGTGTGAAGACTAGTTTTTTAGCATCGTCGAGCAGACCAGTAAGGGCAACTTCGCCTAATTGATAAATTATTTCCTTTAAATTTGTTGGTGTGATTTTCACTCTTAACTTTAAACGTTTGTTTGCATAGTGTATTAGAAAAACATTCACCCTATCCAGCAATTCTGTTTGAGTTGTAGTTCCACTGTCCAGTTGGCCCTCGCTCCATAAGTGACAAATCATGAGACAAAATAGGGGTGTCTTGACAAGTTCATCAATAAGTGGTTGTTCATCAAGGTAAGCCTTCAGACTTTGTCCGTTACAAGGATTCGAATACGAAGCAAAGAACCTGTCGATGTACTCGCATGAGCTCTCTCGCGAGAATCCTTCGATCCACATCTTTGTGTATACCCTTGGAAGATCATCTTGATCGAAGAAGTTCTCTAGGTGAGGGCGTGTAGTTACAAGGACTCGGCACTCTGGAAATTCCTCCCAGCAAATGACGCTGACAATATTGCTCAATGAGCTGCGCTGAGCAGAGGAAATACCGGCATACTCATCTAGTCCGTCTAGAATGATGTGACATATTCCCTGATTCTTTCTGATGAAACTCTCCAGACCCTCTGGTGTGAGATCATCAACATCACTTAGAAGCTGGGATTTGATGGCTTCTCCGATCGATGTAAGCTGATTTGTGTTTCGGAATTTCACAACAAATAGAAGAGGCAGGTGTTCTAATGCTGACCCCTTTTCTCTATGAACCCAGTCGTAAGCCATCTTAGCAACAGCCGTGGTCTTGCCTCGTCCAGCGGGGGCCGAAATGAGGATTCGAGCTGGTAATTCGCCATTTACTTTCGTTGAAAATATTTCAGCAACAGAACCCTGGAGTATTTCCTTCTGTTTCATGTCTTTTCCACGACCGTCCTTCTTCACCATCGTGACAACCGTGTGCATATCTTCGAAATCAGCATAATCATTTTGATTCCACGGTGTCATTTGAATTTTGCACAATTGTTTTCGGTACTTATTCTCTAACTTTTCGCGACATCGCTGAACAGTCAATGATTCCGAGATCTTCTTACTGTATATATCTGGAATGATACAATCATATATAACACCGAATATCTTATTATACTCCAATGATCTGCCCCTTCGCAAGGCTTTTGGGGAGGATTTTTGTTTGGATTGTCGGTAAAAATTCCGACGATTTGCCTCTTTCCCATGAAGCAAAGGCATATAGAAACCCACTTAACGCTGCTATTATCTTTGATTGTACTGTATAGATCAGTCAGCCAGAAAAATTTCTTTCCAAATCGATATTGAAAAAAAAATCATGGGTTTATTTCCTCCTTTTTTAAAGATCTTTTTCAAACAAAATGCACAGAGTGAAGGAACGTAAAATAACGGATGAAGGAAGTGATTGTAAGCAGTCTAGCACTGATATACCCACCTGGATTATATAGTGTCCCCTTGAGATGTGTTTCAGCAAGCATGACTAGCTTAACGTCAATGAGAGCTTGTTTCAGTCTGAGATGCTGATCGCAAGGCTTCACGGTCTGTCTCCAGTCAAATAGCATCTCACGTGTTCCCTTACAAGTCACACGTCCTTCTATCCTGTTGGTCTCTGTGTATCTATTGATTTCTGCGACCTTGAATCCAAGTATTCGTCCTAAGGCCTCCATCTGCTCACCCGTCTCGATGTCTTCAGCCAGCTTGGAGAGAAGATCATCGGAAATACCTCCATGAGCCGCCATACCTATGGGGAAAATTTAAAAAAAATAGAGATTAAGAAACTTATTATGAACATGAATGAATTGCTCCTTATATGATCGTGCTTTTTTCCATTGATATAAAGTGTCCTTTCTATTGGTAATTCATTGTAACTTTATATATAGAATCCATGACACATGCTCCGCCGACGATTGCTCCGCCGACAGTTACTCCGCCGGCATTTGCTCCGACGTTAAATGCTCCTCCGACAGTTGCTCCGCCGACATTTGCTCCGCCGACAAATGCTCCTCCGACAATTTCTCCGCCGGCATTTGCTCCTCCGACAATTGCTCCGCCGAGGGGGTAAGAAACATGATTTTTTTTAACCCAACACTCACCCCCCCCCCCCTCCCCCCTAGCGGGAGCCAAAAACAGATGGGGAAGGAGGGTAGTGAGCCTTTTTTTGGTTTTTACTCAACACCCCCACCCCTCCCCCTCTTGAGCTTTACAGGTAAAATTAAAGATACAATTTTACCCCTATGTTGGGGGCCAGGGGAGGGGGCCCGGACCCCCCTCCCCCCCCCCCCCTCGGATCCGCCAGTAGTAGGAGTAGTTATATGTGGTGCATGATATTCAGTCCCTCTTTTATAAAGGCTGGTATGACAGTGGTCTAGTACATTTAGGAGACCATTTTACGAGAGATGGCTTTCGGTCAACAGAATACATTAAATCGCAGGTGAACTTCAAACGAAAATGCAATGCTCTGTTTGACTATGCAAGACTTAAACGAGCGATACCACCTGTATGGGTCAATAGTTTAAAAGAAGAATTTATGCATGATTATACTAGACAAGAAATTGAAAACAAAATTCCTTATCTGCTGGTTGCAAATAGGGTAAAACATGTTACTGATATGAGTAGCAATTGTTTTTGTATAAACTCATTCCTTCAAGAAATGTACTAACTAACACATGTTGCCTTTATTGGGAAAAGAAACTTAATTTAGATATTAATTGGTCTACGGTATTCAAGCGTAATCTTGCACACATTAGAGAAAACAAACTGCGAGAGTTTAACTTGAAATTACTGTATAATCTATTGCCAGTAAAAGTAATCTTTTCAAATGGGGAATATCTAATGACGATGTATGCCTAACATGTAATGTAAAAGAGGATATAAATCACGCATTTATCGAATGCAAACTAAATAAGCCCTTCATTAAACATCTGAAAGAAATATTACGATAAATATACCAAATAAAGATATTGAAGCTCAGTATCCTACACTTGCTAAAAATAGATTGTGAAAATCATTGTACTTTAATCCTAACTATAGATTGTTAGACCATTTATAAATCGATTGTCGATCGGTATATGACTGGAATAAACACAAGAAATGTTGCTTTCAAACAAACTTTCCAAAGAGAAATTATAAAAAGATTGGAAATTCAGTCAAATATAAATATGACCAGAAAGCACACATTATTACCAAAAGAGCTGTTACGTGTTATTTAAACACACACAAAAAAAAAAAAAAAGTGTGGGGGGGGGGCAAATCTATCAGTATAATTCTTATGTTATGATGATTCAAATGCTTTGCAAAGCAAAAGTAAATTGCAATTCTTTGTTATGCAAATAATGATGCTTTTGTGATTATGTAAGTTTGATTTGTATATATTGTATCTTTGAATGTAAATCATGTATATCTAATAAATCCTATGATGAGTCAAAGAAAAAAAAAGGAGTAGTTATAAATTAAGAAAACTAGTAGTAGGCCTAGTAGCAATTTTAACAAGTCAACGCAAAGCGTAGCATCCCCTCGCAGGTTACAAATTGCCTATATTCATCACAACAAGTTACTTCCATTAAACTAAAACTTTTTATATTACTAGGCAAGG